GCGAGTGGAACAGAGTCGTTGATCGAGGGGGTGTAGAGCAGGCCAGGCAGGAAAGGTTTGTGGCCGATACCGGCGCAACCAACCACATGTTCCCGAGCGCTAACGCGTTCGAAAACTACCATGAGTGCGATCGACGTTTGAGTGTCGCCGCAGGGAAGCAAGCCTTCGCCATAGTAGGCTACGGCGACGTGAGGGTGACCATCGGTTCTCGCGTTGGGACCACAGACCTGCTGTTGAAACGGGTCGCTCATGTGCCGGAGCTGAATTACAACCTCGTGTCCCTCACAGCCCTTTTGAAGCAAACCAAGGGCCGCTTAGCCGCAGACGAGCGTGAGTTGGAGGTGTTCGTTGGTGGGGGGGAGTCGGTGTACTTCCCTCTATGGGGGGACCTGTTCGTTCAGACTGGTCACCGCATAGACTCGGGTAGGGAACTAGCCTGTGCCATAATTGCTCCTGGTAACGCGAAAGCGAACCGCACCCCCGTTGACATCAACGACTTCCACTGCGCGCACGGCCACTCCCACGAGGTGCTGCTGAAGAACACGGCGAAGCAGCAAGGGGTGACGCTGGTGGGCCAGCTCCGGGAGTGCATGGGGTGCTCGACGGCAAAGGGGCTATCCAAGCCCATCCCCAACAGGACGTCCACCCGTGCAGTTAAGAAGCTGCAGAGAGTTTTTGTGGATTTGAGTGGGAGGGCAAGGGTGCAGAGCTTGGGGGGGAAGTGGTACACTCTCATTGTAAGGGATGACTGCACGAGGTGGAACCGCGTCTACTTCTTGAAAAACAAGTCAGACGCTGCAGAAGCATTCGAGAGATACCTAGCGGAAAACCGGGCAGACGGAGCCCCATCCGAGGTCATGGTCGTGCGGTCTGACAACGGAGGAGAGTTTTTCGAGGGAGAGTTCGGAAAGCTGTGCCGCAAGTACTGCATCAAGCAGGAGTTCACCCCCGCATACAGCCCAGAATACAACGGTGTAGCTGAGAGAGCACTGGGACTGATCAAGGATGCAGCACTAGCCGCGCGCATACAAGCGCCGATTCTTTACCCCGAAGCGCCGAGCTACCCCTCCCTTTGGGCCGAAGCTACAGCTTGGGCATGCAACGCCCTTAACTGCACCTCCACCACATCCAACCCGGACAAGAAATCGCCGTACGAAATGTGGCACGGGCACCCACCTCCCCCAGAGGCGACGTACCCGTTCCTCAAACCCGCCGTATACAAGGTCAAGCGCACGCACAAGTCAGAGCCGAAAGCAAAAAAGTGTTTTTACCTCGGCCCTGGAATCAACACAAACCGTGATTGCGTGCGCATCCTGAACGAAAAACGCCAAGCGATCACAACTCGCAACTTCACCTGGCAATCTGTGCCCGCCGCCCCGACCGCGCACCCCCAGCCGCTGCCTCCCATTGCAGAGGAGGACGAGGAGCTCACGACTGGGGAGCACGAGGGCGGGGAGGGTGCGTCATGCCACGGTGGAGGGAGGGCGGAGGGAGAACCTGAGGATGGAGGTTTCCACCTTGACACGACGGCAAACCCGGGGCCCGCGGAGCCGCCCGCGCGTGATGCGCCGGCGGCGCCGCCGGCCGCGCCCCAGGAGTCGGGCGCGGGCGACGCTGGCGATGGCGCCCCCTCGAGCAGGGAGGGCGCGAGCGTCGCCCCATCTACCACGTCGACCGGGATGGCCGATGTGGGCGGCGGCGAGGACGACCGTCGCAGCAGCAGCAGCCGCGGTGGCGGCAGCAGCAGCAGCAGCAGCAGCAGCAGCAGCAGCAGCAGCAACAGCAGCGGTAGCGGCAGTGACAGCGGCAGCGACACGGACATCCCGGCCCTCCGCGGGCCCGAGGGACGGAAGCTCGCCCGCTTTGGCGAGCCGGCGGAGCTCACCAGCCGCCGACTCAGGGAGAACCCTCGCCGGAACATGAGGTACGAGTCGTCGCCGTCGCCAACGAGTGCCGAAGGCCTGCTCGCCCGCCATGCGTCGGAGGCGGGGCTGCCCATCCTGCCCATCAACAGCACGACGGAGCACACCCACTGGATGATCGCGTGTGTGGTCGACGTGGTGGAAGAGCTAGAGGCGAGGGCGGTGCAAGCGCTGCTGTGCGAGCGCGCGGAGGAGGCCAACATCGCGCGCCAAGAGGCAGAGGACTTCCTGCTGGGAGCGGAGGACCTCGTGCTCAACTCTCCAGACGCCTTCGCGAGGGCCCTGGCGTCGACCGAGCTGAGTACAGAATCCCCCATAGGCAAGCGTCCGAGTGACGTCGAATCCCCCCCCATGACCGTAGCCGGCGTTAACAAGTCTGTGTACAGAGAGGGATGGGAACAGGCCATGAGGGAAGAGTTTGATGGGCACTTGGGCACGGGAACGTTTTCATTCGTAGACGGTACGCCAGAGGGGCGTAGACCCGTGAGCTCGAAGTGGCGCTTCACTTGGAAGACAAACAAGGACGGAAAAATTGAGAAGTTCAAAGCGCGTCTGGTCGCTAGGGGGTTTTCGCAAATCCCGAACGTGGACTACTTCCACTCATCCTCCCCTTGCCCATCATCCGCATCCATTAAACTGATGCTTGCGGTAGCCAACGAGAAATCGCTGAAACTCAACCACTGGGATGTCAAGCAGGCGTTTACACACGCTAAGTTGGACGAGGATGTGTTTCTGAGGCTCCCCGCGGGGTGCGGGGAAAAATCCCACAAAGTTGTGAAGGCTGAGCGTGCTATTTACGGCTTGAAGCAGAGCGGCAGGCAGTGGGGGTACCACGCTGCCGATACTCTTGTAGAAAACGGGTTCGAGCAGTGCAAGGCTGACCCGTGCGTCTTCCGCAAGATGAAAGACGATGTCGTGGTGATGATTATCGTGATTTATGTGGATGACATTTTGGTGGCTGGGTCTGATGATGATTGCAAGGAGTTGCTTGCTTCCCTCAACAAGGCATTCCCCACCAAAGACCTTGGAGAGTGCGTGTGGTTCGACGGGTGTGCCGTCGAGAGAGACCTAGAGGCTGGGACCCTTAGAATCTCCCAAACCGCGTACATTGACAGCATCGTGAATCGCTTTGATGTGCAGTCGACCTCCTCCATCCCTGCTTCCCCTGGTGCCGACATAGGACCGAAGCGGGATGACGAGAGTGGAGGGGAATGGCCGGTGAGGGAGGCCATCGGCAGCATGATGTGGGTGTCGACGTTCTCGCGCCCGGACATCTCGTTCGCCGTGCGTGCGGTAGCGCGCCATGCCCATGCCCCTGCCGAGAGGCACTGGAAGGCGATCGTGAAGATCCTCGCCTACCTCAAAGAGACGAGGGACCTCGGGATCACCTACAAACGGGGATCGGGGTTGGGGCTGGAGGTGTACGTGGACGCTAGCTACGCCGACGCTGAGGATAGGCGTTCGGTGTCAGGGCTGGCAACAACGGTTGGAGGGACCGTCATCAGCCACGGTAGCAAGACGCAAGCTATCGTATCTTTGTCGTCTACGGAGGCAGAGTACATTGCTGCCGGGGAGGGTGTGAAGGAAGCTTTGTTTGTGCGTGCAGTGCTTTCGTTTATTGCCCCAGAGACCAGTGGCAGCAGCATTCAGGTCCTTGAGGACAATCAGGGGGCTATGGCTTTGGTGCAGAACCCCCTCAGCTCAGCGCGTAGCAAGCACATCGACGTGAGGTACCACTTCATTCGTGGATTGTTCAGGTCGGGGGACATCTCGATCAAGTTTGTGTCGACGTCGGAGCAGCATGCCGACATGCTTACCAAGGCTCTTAGCAAGAGCAGTCTGCAGTACCACCGGCGCAAGTTGATGAATTTGCCGGAGTAGCTAGCAGTTTTTAGCACTTGGGAAGGGCCATGTTTACCATGCGGGAAAGTCGCATTACTGTCGCGGTCTGTGTACCCATGGCAGGAGTAGGGGGCGTTGGGAGGCCATCGTCCGGGGGAACGTAGTTCCTTGCGATCTTGTCTTCGCCTTGGTCTTTCTGATAAGTGCGGCCGTTGTACATCCGCCGTGATAGCAATGGTTTTTGTGTTGGATGGGGTTTTCTTTGGAGGGGTTTTGCCCGGGGGCCGGGTTTCCCCTCCACCACCGTATGGTTTTTTTATTGATGTATCCGGGGTGTTGTTGCCCCACTGATGGTTAGTCACTTGCGTGAAGAACCAGGGAGGGTGTTCGTGGGTCTACGGACATGGTTTGGATACATTAGCCATACGTACAAGTGTGACGCAGATGGTGTAGAACCTTTTAGGTAGGGGTACGGTGATGATGCACCGGGACCCCCTTTGTTGAGTGCAGCAGCCGCGCTGCCACTCTCTCTTTCTCCTCCTGCTTTCCGAGCACGACAGCGTCCTGGGTACGGGCGTTGTCTCACCGTCTGAAGTTAATACACTACACAAACAAGTCCCGATAAGTACGCGGAGTACGGCCGACAAACAGCTGGTACTGTACAGTAGAGCGAGTGCAATATCAGGATATGAAGACAATGTGGTACAGACGAAACTAACGGCGGGAATAGACCTTGCGGCACCACCCAACTCGCGGGTGTTGCGCCCAACATCTCTTGCGAAATAGCTGTTCCTCCTGTGTGTCTGGAGACCGCACAATCAGCGTCGCCTTTCACGGTGTGCATCGGAGTCGTCCCAGAAAATGAAAGGTGTACGGAGTCGGAGTGTCGGTGTTGGCGATACGTGTGTCCTTTCTGGGCCACAGAACAGGTCCTCTCACATTGGTAACGATGTTGCGCTAAGAGAATGCAGCCAACCGCCGGACGGGGCCGTGGACGTGCGACATCATGGTGGCACGCAAAACGGCCTCTCTTGGATAACGTTGGTGCTTGGCACGATTTACAACACCAAGATGCACAATTTTGGCCGTAAAGGCGATCAGGTTGGCGTTGTTGTTGGGGGCCATCTGCCCCCCAACACCGAGGTAATACGCACCACACCCAGGTTACGAAATAGGCTTCAAGCAACGTCACGCTTAGTTGAAACTGCATAAGTCTCCAAACGTGCCTGAGCAAGCACGTGCAAGGAATCGACAGAGGTTGGAACTCACTGAACGATTGGATGGTGCGGATTTCCGACCCCCGGGCGGAGAACGAAAGAGGGCTTGAACTTACCGCGGGGATATTCTCCACAAACACAGACAACACGAAGATATCACACTCAGGGACAACGGAATCGTACATCTGGGTGTATACCAAACAACGCAGGTGATGGCTTTGTCCCAAGAATGCCCGAGATGTTGTCACGCCAAAATCACCGTAAACAACCATATTGTCGACGGAAATCCGGAGAAGAATCGAGTTTTCCTTCGAAATAGGTTATAGAAATCCAACATGACGAGAGGGGGGGGGTCGGGGGGGCTTTCACGAACGTTGTTCGTCGTCAAACAACAGCAGAAAACCTGTGCGACACCAACCCTTGACCCCTCCTGCGCCGCAGGTGCTGCCTTCCTCTCCATTGGTGTGTGCATCTATCTGACGCTTGACGTCCAACGCCTGCCACCTACCGTACCTCATCATTTCGGTCGTGAACAGCAGTATTGTTGCTCCTCCCCGTCCCATCACAGTCACGACCGTGTAAAACACCATCTCCCAAACGGTGAATGCGCAGAAAATGGCCAACAACCCCATATTTTTTGTCAATAAACAGAAACCGGAGACGTCGCGTATGTGCAGCGGCAACATCCGCTAATGTACCTAGGGACGCTGAGTTCACCGCTGGAGGCTGTGGACCAATACCCACTGTTTCGTGAGGATACCGTGTCAGCTGCGGTGAAGGCAAGGGTGTTGAAGTTAAAGGGTTGACTCTACTGACAGCTTGTTGCCAAGATTTGCGGTCTCATAAACTCGCACAGAGGCGATCAATGCCCCATGAAACAACATTCTTAGCTCTGCACGCCAAGAGATGAAAGTGTCTCCATCGATGCTCGAAGGTCTACAGGGATGTGGCTTACACAGTGGTGGGGGGGATACGTTTGCCGCAGCGGAACTGTTGCAGCACAGCGTGATTCTAAATGACCACAATCCGCGTGAAACGGCGTTGCATCGCACGTTGTTTCTGTACTAAACGCGATGGATTACTTCGTTTTTGACACTTTGAACATCATGTTTTACGCAAGCACAACTCTCCACCCTCCCCTGGTGTCGGTGCCCTTAGTAATCCCATCGACCCATGTAGGTGGAACACCAATTCAAAGCCATGCGGACGTCAGGAAGGCTCATTGGCAGACCGCTTCCGCTCTGGGCAACAAATAAAAGTGCAAAAACAACTTGCTCTTAAGTACAAAATTTCTCTAAATTTGTAGAACGCGTCCTTCTCGTATCGTACACACACCGTGTTGTGTAATAACGAGACAGAAAAACAGAGCGGATTTCGTCTACACGGCCGTTGCCTCCCGCCGCTGTGCCTCTAGGTTGCTGTCATCGCTGCTGACGTCATCGCCGCTGTCACTGGCGTTGTTGCTGCTGTTGTTGGTCTTCTCGATGCTGTTCTCACCTCCGTCGGCATCGACGTCGTCGTCACAGCAGTAGTCGTCGCTTCGATCGTTGGGACTACTGGCTTGAGTCTCCTACAAGAGAACAGCAGGAGAGAGGAATTCGTATCGTGGCGCCAAACGAGTGCATGAGACTAAAGGTTCCTTTCACGGTTGTCGTGCTGTGGTAGGCTACCTCGGCGCACCTGATCGGGGGAATCGTTCGCGACTTTGCGGCACGTGGGCAGGTACTGATGATATACTTCGAACTTTTTGCTAAGCATGCCGCCGCGATTGTTTCTTTCTCATCGCCGACCCTTGCCACAAAACGTGAATGAAGAATGCGTTCAGCTGCGGCCATCTCAGCCCTTCCGCCGAGCGCACCACATGCCCCCTTATACAATTGCGTCGCCAGCCGCCCCGTTTACCCCCAGACCCGATCCTACAGAACAAAACGCCCCGGAATGCCTGAAAATTGCCCTGTGGACTCCAAGCGATACCATCGTGTTCATTCACCAACCTTCGCAACGAGCTCGTACGACGAGCGTCCATCATTGCCACCACCGCCGCAGTAGCCGCCCCAGCACCGTCGCCTGCTACGAGGTGGCATACCTTTCGCCCCCGGCCGCCCGCCGCGCGCGTCGGTGCCGCTGATCCACCGTTTCGCCGTGGGCAGGACCAGCAACAGCAGGGACAGCGAAGGAAGAGCGGCGCTGACGGCGAAACACCTGGAAGCACCGAGGCCTGCGTACAGGAGCCCTCCCAGCATCGCCCCGAGCCCAAAGCCCAGGCCCCAGTGGATTCCGGACACGACTCCTTGAATCGTCGTTCGCAAGTGAGCTGTAGTTTGATTTGTTGTTGTGAGGTCCGTGGAAGGACCGAGGGACGGTTAGATAGGAGGCAGTCCTCAGGTCAGGGCGATGCGTTCGCATGCCTACGCATGGCTGGGTGTGTGTGTGGTGGGCGTACGTGGGCACGCGCGTGGGCGCGCGGCAGTGTTTTGCGTGTGATCGCGCCGGCCACGTCTAGGAGCGGGAAGGAAGTTTCCGGGAGGTTTCATGTTTTCTGTATAGGGTATGAGCGCGTTCGGTATGAGGACCGTCCAAGACAAACACCCGTCGCGCTTCATTTGTTGCCTAAACGTGCTGTGCCGGCACGACCACACCCAGCCCGAAGCCAAAGCTACAACGCCGTGACAATACTCGCAGTGCACTGTACAAGCTACCCGTGGTACATTGCAATGATTGACGAGAAACAAGAGCGTGCATGGGCAGAACCGGAGAGCACAAAGCAACAAAAGCACCAGCAGCATGAGCGGTACCGTTGGCAACGGCAGCAGCACAACGTGCCTGGAGCGATCCCGTGCGCGTATTCTGTGGTGGCTGCCCACATTGCGGCGAAGGTCAGGCCGTGCAGCACCTCGGCCGGGAGGACCCACCACGGCTCTCGTAGCACCTGAGCCAGTTCGAGGGTCCGGTTCGTCCCGAGGAGGGTAGCACGGGGTTAACGAGGCATTTCAATTCCATACAACTCAGAACAGAGGTAGAGAATATAAATAACAGCCTTCCGCCATGGCAGGGATAGCCGGCAGGGTCGGTCTCATGTCCCCCAATGGGCCGGGCGGCCAGAATGTGATTCAGGTGAAGGCATGTATACGATGGACGCAATCGGCACTATTTTAGCACGGGTTCTACCAGGCAAGGGTGTATCAGTGCGCTCCTATGGTCATCACGGCCCTCGTTAGACGGAAAGACAATGCTGTGCAATCCTGTGAACGCGGAAACGGAGACAGGGTGAGAGGATCTTGGCTCTCGGGGTAGGAGGAAGCCGACGAAATGGACGGAGAGAAAAGGATATGTCGCTGTAGTTCGCGGACGAAAAATTGTAACGTCAAGTATAGTCCGTGCAGAGCAATTTGTCCAATCACGTTTTGCGCGATAACTTTTTTTGCAAGAAGAATTGAAACGTGAAGCAACAACCGTCGTGACCGCCTCGTCGAGATACGTCGATAGCCGTTGAGTTATTTTATTTTGCCGATATGCAACATTTTTTGAACAAAATGATCCACGGTGCCCCATAAGTACTACATACCCTCCCATTATCATCCACAGAGCCCCCTCACCCCCCCCAGATTCCCCCCTGCCCCTGTACAGAGGCTGCTTTGTACACCACGGACACTACCTGTTTCCATTTGTTCAGATTCCACGAAGAATGCCTTGAACACCCGGTAAATAAAGCAATACTCCAGAGTATATAGTAACCAATACTGGTATATTTTAAAATATGTTGAACACCCGGTAAACAAACCCAGATAACGGAAGAGGACATATATAACAATATATTTATTTGTGGTAACTTACAAACGTACACATATATGTAGATAAGAGCCCCCATGGGGACGGTACCATGGTCTAGTCAACAAGGAGAGCGCACCGTACAACCATCCCAAATGTCAACACCGGTAAACCAATTCTGTCAAAAGCAAAATCCATCTGCAGTAGTTACCTGCCTACCACCCAGGACATATCATCCAAAAGGCTGTGTTTCAGCATCGGAAATGTCGATCCGATACATGTGCACCCAAAGTATCAACAGAAAGTCCCCTACAGGGACGGTACCATAGACTAGACTAGTGAACACCAAGAGTGCACCGTACAACCACCCCAGATGTCTTCAACACCGGTAAACCACTTCTGCCAAAAGCAAAACTGAACAACACACATCACGACACATCGTTCTCCGCCTCCTTCTCCTCTTCCGCATTCGCCATCGCACGCATCTTCCTCTTCCACATCTTGAACGCCCTTGTCGCCCTCTGGACGGAGAAGGTTCGGTTTTCCTGCGAAGCTGCCATTGCCTTGGCCACCGCTGCCTCCTGTTGCTGTTTGGATTTCCCCCACCCCCCTGCCTCCGCGTCCGGTGAGAACCCGGCGTGCTCCGTCCCGGCTGTGTAGGGATGCGAGGTCAATGGTCTAACGACTACGGCATGCACGACTATGAGTACACCCCCCNNCTTGAGGTAGTCCTCCAGGCCGTCGTCGTATGCCTCAACGTAGAGCCACGCCACCCTGCTCCACGCGCGGATGTGGCCCAAGGCACGCCACTCATTATGCCCGGCAGAATCTTGAGCATGTGGAGGAGGGAGTACTCGCAGTGAAGACGAAGAACGTGCTTGGTGTACCCCCAGTACCGCTCAATGGCGTTGAGCTCAGGGTGGTACTTGGGAAGGAAGATGCACACGTGCCTGGCCTTCTTGAAGATCTCCTCGACCTTGTTGAGCTGCTCCTTGAAAGCCCTCAGGTCGGAGAAGACCCGATACGCACAACAGCGCTGCCGCGTTCCAGCCGCCCCTCCCGCTGCAGTGGCCCCCTCGGTGAAAGAATTCTGCTGCTCCCGCCGCGCTTGCTCTAGAACCCTCTCCCGCTCATCCCCCCCTTTGTTGAAAGCGGTGATCGCTTGCCGTGACGCCGCGTTGTTAGCCTTGCACTTCTTGCAAATCTGGAGCAGCACCTTCTTCCTCTCACCATCAAGCCGCCACAACCCCATCTCCCGGAGCATTTGCTCGGCTCCTTTGTTGAGGCCAAGCAGCGGCAATTCAGCCACGACCTCGGTGCCGACGCAAAACTTCTTCTTGTCGAGTGCCGTTCCGTTCTTGCGCCCCTTCTGCTTCTTGTCCACCTGCGTCTTAGGCAAGAAGATCTTCCTGTCGGTGAGCAGAGTGTCACCAAACTCGAATGTAGGGCACACCGTGTTCCCGTTGTCATCCTCGAACACCCTCAAAGCTGCCTTCTCGCCACCCGGCGCCATGTTGATCTTGTGGGCCAACAACGCGTCTTCGCCGTACGCGTTGTGCCCGGTGGAGTTGTCGAAGATGAAGACACCCTGCCGGTGCGGGCCACTCGTCAGCTCGACCATGGCGATAATCGCCGGCATGGGCGCACATGCGATCGCTCGTCCAGTAGCGCACATGACCACACTCACTTTTGCACGTCTTCGATTCGAAGACGCGGCTCGTCCTTCTTCCGCCGATACAGCTTGCGATCGATGTACTCCCTCAGGTGGTTGCGCTTGTCCTCGTCTTCGATGAAGGAGTGCGGCTCCCGCTTGTTGTACTGCCGTTTGGGGACAACGAAGGCGCCGCCCTCGCAAAACTCATTCACCCACCGCCGCACTTCCTTCGATTCGACCTTGGCGACTTCGGCTGCGGCTCTACTGTGGTCCATTTTCGCCACACCTTGTTGGATTATGCCGTACGGGCGGAACGGGCGTCATTCGTTTCGGGAAATTAGTATCAGTACAGCAGTAATTTGTCCGACAGCAGTTATTTGGCCGACAACAACAACATGCAGCGCCCGTGATACACTAAAAAAAAGCAGCCTCGCTCCAACGAATGAGCAACCGGAAGACAGATTAAGACAGCACTACACGTTCCCCGCCCACACTTACTCGAGTTGTACGGAGTGCTTCACTGCGTGGATGACTTTGGTGGCGTGAGCCAGTTGTGATCTGTCCAGCATCGTCTTCGGGGCCGCCACCACTGAATCGTAGCTGCGACTCTGCGCAGCCTGTGACGAGGAAACACACGTGCGGTTTCCAGAGCATTGCCGTCAGCAGTTTTTTCTGCGATCTTGTCTGAACAGCGATCTCGAGGTCGAAAAAAGAAACGTGGAGCTCGTGGCACACAAATGCTGCCCGAATCAAAGAAGCGGCTGGCAACATTGGCGGTGGCGCCCCGTGGGTAGTCACGGCCGTGCTAAGAGCAGGCGGTAAGACTGTATATGACGCAGATATAAAACAAGAATCAATGGTGTTTCGCCTTCCGTGATAAGCTCTGATCAGGTACTGCGCTGAAACACATGTGCAGGAAGCACAAACAACAACAGCAGTGTCGCTGCCCACAAAACGCCGCTGCCATTGTGGTTGCAACTGAACCAAAAAATACCTCACCTTCTGGAGCTTGTCGTAGGCATCGCGGTACGTTTGCATCAGCTCCGCCTTACGCCTCGTCCAGTGCTTGCGCGCTCGGCCCCTCGCCCGATCCAGCTTCGTTTTTGTCCATGTCTTCCGCTCCGACGCCGGCGCCTTCCTCTTGGCGACGCGATAGTTCTTGTTCATGCTGTACTGTGCCGCAACGAGATTTGATTTCTCGCA